CCAGCAGAGACTCAGAAGCTACTACAGGGCAAAGTAAAGCGCGGTTCTTACATTACAGCTAATGAACTTGGTGATACACATTGTTTTCGTACATGTCATCAGTCCACCAATCTACACACCACCAAGACACAGAAGAGACATTACTCCTCTCCCTCCTTCACGGGGCTCCATTTTTGCCAGACTTCTTTCCTTCATGATGTTCTTGTTTATGTTAAAACTTTGGAAGGTACGGAGAAAGTAAATCATTCTAGCCCTTGGTCTCAGGTCCAGCTGAAGACTGACCTGCCACTTCTTCTATCATAGTGGTCATGAAATGTAGTCCTTGGAACAAAGGTCACCTGCTGTATCACCAGAGAACTTGTCAGACCAGAGAATTATCAGACCTTACCACTGTCTCAGTAGATCACAAATTCTAACCTGGAGTCTACCAACATTGTGCCACCCAGGGGAGTCAGGAGAATGCTCAAGAGAGGACCTCAACTCAAACAAAAGCTGTGTGCATTATCGGCCTCAACTTCCTGGGAAACTTCCCAAAATAAGTCCTTAGGGATGGCTTTGGAAAATATAAAGGCGCCATAGAGAATTCAATGTTCAATGCCTCTGAGAAGTCCTTTTTATTTTTACTCTGTATTTTATGAAGTGTTTGACCACAGAATATTCTTTATTTCCATCTAGTGCTCTGGGTCCTGCCTCATTACCCTATTTCTTTCTTTCCCCACCTCTACTCTCTCTCTTTCTGTCTCTCTCTCATATGTATATATATATATATATATATATATATAAACACACACACATATATATATACATATACACACACATATATATATATACATATGTTCTCTCTCTCAATGTTTATCTATGTGTGTATGTGTGTATATGTATGTATGGGTGCCATTCTTAGGGCTTAAATTCAAGGACTGAGAATTGTCCCTTAGCTTTTTCACTCGAGGCTGGTCCTCCGCTGCTTGAACCACAGCTCCACTTCCAGCTTTTTGGTGGACTTTCTTGCCAGGGCTGGCTTCAAATCATGATCCCCAGATCTCAGTCTCTTGAGTGGTTAGGATTATAGGAATGAGCCCCTGAACTTGAATGGTACTAAGTTGAACTCTCCTAACCTAACACTTCTACTACATGTCCTAGAAACACTCTTGGAGAAGAGTCATAGCTACATTTGTCAGGTAATAGATGCAATCATTGATAAAGTATGATTTTGGATTTTCAGCTAAACTTGCATGCATATCTAGGACAAACCATTATCTAGCTCTGTGAACTTGGAAACTGATCATTTTTGGTCAGGTTCTTGTGAGGAGAATGTGAACCCAATGAAGTGCGAATGTAAACAATGTAAGTAAGGACCATGGTATTTGGAGTCAGAGGACATGTGAGTGCTAGCTCACTCCTCTACCAACCTTAGCCCATCAATAAACTAGAAGATACAAACAATAAACAACTTGCCAGATAGTATTGATTAAAACATTAAGTAAATTGTGTTGGCAAGCAGCATCTATAAACTGCAAAATACTGTAAAATGTCCATTTCTATATGTCAACAAAAAAGAAAGGAAAAAAACCAACTAAGCCATAACCATACAAGCACTGTCTTACGGTAGCTGATCTGAAAATTCCACTTCCCTTTTAAACAAGCGCCAAAGCACTAGAGCAGTGCTTAGTCCTAAGGGACCTTGTTCTGGCTGACAGATAAGAATAATTTGTAAGTAGCACAGGCTCTGCGTTATGTCCCATCGTCTTCAGTATTGATTTGTTTATCAAAAATTGTTATTTATAAGAAGCACAAAAATAAACCAGCCCAAGTTCTGCAGGATGTATCACAGGTTCTGAATTAATGAGATCCAAATGTATGAGGGTTCTGAATTGCTACTTCCTCTTCTTACTCTTCTGTGATTGGGTGAGGCAGATACCCACCCATTTGTTACAGAAGAAGGATACCCCTCTCTTCTTCCATCAGTAGAGCAACTTCCACAACCCTGAAAAGGATGCATCTTTCTAGGCACCAGGGTACATGGGCCGTTGTCATGTGATTTTAGGTTTGGGGAGTAGCTCTTTACTGACAGTTCTGTGTACCTATAGGTGATGACCACACGGTTTTACAACAAGAATATTTCTTAGCCTGGCACCAGCAGCCCCTGTCTGTAATCCTAGAGATTCATGAGACTGACACCTGGAAGAGTGAGGTTCCAAACCAGATCGAGCAGAAAAGTTTCCAAGCCTATACCTTCAAAACAACCTGTCAAAAGCAGGGCTTGGAGGTATAGCTCAAGTGGTACAGCATCTTCTGTTTGCAGGCCAGCTGAGCAAATGAAAGGCCCTAAAACTGGTTTATTTTTGTGCTTCTTACAAATAAATTTTTTTTACAAACAAATCAATACTGAAGATGGTGGAACATAACGCAGAGACTTTGCTATTTACAAATCCATAGACAAGTCAAAAATTAATAAAAGAGTGTTCCCTACGGAAAGCTGGATCCCCTGAGGAGTGAAGTAATGTGTTCCAGTGTCAGAGGGAAAGTTCTCATGATCCTGGTAGGCTTGGGTGTCTCAACCTCCTAGCATCTCTATAAGAGGCAGAGATGAGGAGGATATTATGGGTCAATGACAACTGAGCCAAAAGTTCAGAAGACTCCATCTGCTGCAATAGAAAGCTGAATGTGCTGGCATGTACCTGGCATCCCAGCTATGTGGGAAGCACAAACAGGATGATTGACATCTAGGTTAGCTTCAGCATCAGTATGAGATCTTGCTTAAACTAATGGCTGCAAAAAAGGCTGGAGGCATGATTCAAGTGATAGAACATCTGACTGGAAAGCACAAAGCCCAGAGTTCAAATCCCTTATAATCCTGAAGCTCTAGATAGCAGTTATTCCAGTATGGTCCCTGGACCTCCAGCACAGGTATCAGCAGGGACCTTGATAGAAACGTAGATTCTTGAGCCCTACCTCACATCTACTGGATTGGGGCCAAGCCAATTGGGACTCCTGAGCTCTACCCATGTCTATTGAATTGGAGCTGTCTGAATATTCTACCTTATTCTGATATGTGTTCATGCTTGAGATCTGGGCTAAGAAGAAAGCAGCCAGGACCAGACTCTGCCCTCCAGACAAAGAAAACTGGAACTCTGGTCATAAATATTATCTAAGAAACTCCAGCAAAATGCTATTTGAATCTGCCCAAATAAACTCAACTTGTTGAAACTTATTGACACTTTCTCTTCTCACTCAAGCATAATGAGTTCTCCTTGATGGTTACACATCAGAAACCCAGAGGACACTTTCAGAATTCTCCTGTCTGAGCTGAGACTCTACTCACCTGGATTAGAAGCTCTGGAATTGGTTTGGGTGTTTATGTTAAGAGCTTCCCTGCCGGTGGTTCTACCTGGGATCCTAGGTTGAGATCTACTGATCCAGAGCACACCTGCTGAGAAAAAATTGATTTGGTTTGTATTTTCATTGATCCTGAGCTTTTCTGGTAGACATTTATTTTACCCATTCATATGAGAAAACTTATATATTCATTGTAGGAAAAAATCACTTGTAAAATACAGAAAAGTTGAAAGGAGAAATAAATGAACACTGGCTTTTCAACTATCCAAAGGCAGTTGTCAGTATCTTTGTACATTTTCTTTTAATCTTTTCAATGTTATTTTTAATGCCCTGGTTTGAAATTTTACAGTACTGTTATCATAGTTAATATACCATTTTCTATCCATTTTTAACTTTGTATTTTAAATCATTCTGTGTGTTATTATAATAATGAATACGATTTTTAAGACATGCTTGTGGTGACGTGAAGAAAGTGACTTTTCTTTATTTCCACTTCAGGATGGCATTTAAGGTATTCTTTTCTCTTTACAATGCCTGAGTTTTAAGCATATTGTGGAGTCCAATGTTGAATGTCAGAAGTGGAATATTAACTTCTTTCTCTTTGAATTTCCTCTCCCATGGTCCTTAACCTACCCTTTGTCATTTTTTCCCCCTCAACACCACAGGAAGATATCTGCCTTTGACCCATGGGGGAATATGGTCTTATTGCAGAAAGTTTAAAACAAAAAAAAGGAAAACACATAAATATTTTGGCCAGGGTTTTATAAACACCATTCTACTTGTCAGCCTTCTCTGTAGTTGGAGTCCTCTTAAGTTGCAAGTTGGTAGTCTCCTCTGTAATGTGGGATTCTCAAACACTCATGTATGCAGAGCAGCCCCCATTAGGCCTACTCCTGGATATTTTGGAAAGCAAGCAAGCAGATATATTACACAAGAAAGAAAAGGAAGAAAGGCAGGGCAAGTATAAAAGGTCTCTGACTAATGGATGGTTCCATGTATGATTATTTTATTGTTGTTGTTATTATTATTATTATTATTGCTATGATTGTCTCAAAGCAGCACTCATCCTTTACTTGGAATTTCAGTCTTTTTCTGGGTTAGTAGGATATAGTATGATCATCTCTGCACATAGTCAGTGGCAGTCATGAATCACAACAACCAGTCAGCCCCCATGATCCTGAAGGAAACAACTGATATGCATTGCTTTGCTGTGGTTTTCTATAGGTTAAGTGTGCCAAATGCAATCTCTATTTATGATGTTTCAACTCTCAATGGGTTGATTAGGATGTAACCCATTGTAAGTTGAGGAACATCTATAAAGCAATTTTCTGGTATACTTTGTGCTCAGTCAGAAATGTCTCAAACCAAGCCATTGGTTCCTCTTCCTTCAACACAACACTCTTTGTTGCATGATAATATATGTACATATATACAATTATGTATAATGTATATATGTGTATCTATGTATATTATATATATAGAAATATATTCTCTGAAATATATATGATATATATTATGTATTGTTGTTTGTTTGCCTGATGAGTTCAGCCATCTGGCTCAGTTGTTGATTTGGACACAGGCTCACCATCATTGTTGGGTGCAATGGAGCTGTGATTGTCTTGTGTGGTGGATGCGTCAGGTAATTCTGCCCCATCTTCTTGCAGGGCATTATGGGAAGGAGGCTTACCGAAGTGGAGGACCAGATCTCCATAACTTCATCTCATCTGGATTTGTCACATTAGGAAGAGGACACACGAAGGGTACAGTGGAAACCATTTTTTACTAAAGTACAGAGGTTGCCTAGGGAACCCGATCAGAACTAGAAAGATGACCCAGAGGCTTCCTCCAAAACAGGAATAAATGGGGGCAGTTCTATGGCAGCTTGTCCTGGGGACAAGAATGACTAGGAAGTCTCAGGTGCAACTTTAGCAAGTGATCGACTCCCAAGAGACATCTATCATGCTCTATCCGTGGCAAGAGCAGAGTGCAGAATGCCAGTGGCTTCCCTCAGGGTGGGGACCACAGACAACATGGTAGGATATGGCAGCATTTACAAAGTGTGTGTTTGCCTGGCCAGTTGGCTATTATTCCCTTCCCATTGGAAAGCCACGTTTTATAACCTCATGTCAATGAATGTTCCGTCCTGTGGGTTTCTAAGCCAGTATGCATGTGGAGAGTTTTTACCACCCTATGTGTGTCTCTGTATAACTCTGTGATATGGACACAAAGGTAGAGGTTATGCAGACCTTTCCAGCCGCAAGATGAAAGCTAACCTAGCGTTTCTGCTAAGCTGCTTTATGACCTAGCCGACAGCTTGCAGAGCATCTGCACAGGGGAATGGAATCCTCCCCGATCCTGTCTTTTGTTTAAGCAGAGTCCTACTAGTGTTGTGAGCATTCTGTTGCATCAAGGGTAACTGGATCCCTAACTCCTCTGACTGATTCCCTCCCCGACACCTGTGTGCTGTTATTATAGACCACATGTGAATCCTGTTGTCGGGATGAGCACATCCCGTCTTCCTCGGAAATATGTGTCTGTTCCAAGTGTGAGCAAACAAGGAACTCGGCAATATTTTCTTACATTCCATGCACCTGATTTTTAAATCCCCAATGTGATGTTTGTTCATCCTCTATAGAAAAAAAATCTGTATCTGTGTATGTATTTTCTGTGTGTCTCTTTGTGTCTAAATAAAGTTTATTGAGGATACAGGTGGCATTTGTGGCTACTAAGAACTGCTGAATCCACTTGGGACCAGCTGACTCCAGAAGGAGAAATGGGCTCACAGTTTAACCACTGAAAATTACAGCAATAGACACATTCATGTAGACTTAAACCTGCACCTACCAGCACTTTGCTCTCCACTTCATAATAATTACCCATAGCTAGGAAACAGACTGGCCTAAAACTTAGCATTTTAAAACACAATTATTCACTTACCATTTCCGAGGGCTGGGGTTTGGGTTATCCTAAATGTGTCTGTCATGAGTTTGCAATCACAGTGTGAGGTAGGACTGGGTGATCTGAAGGGATCCAGTTCCAAGATGGCAGACTCTCATGGGACTGGCTGTTGAAGAGGGGTTTTGGTCTTTCAACAAGACATTCTCTCCATGGGCTATTTGAGTGACTTCATTGTATGGTGGGTATGTGTCCTCAGAGCTGGTGATCTGAGGAAGAGGGACATAGCCACCATGTCTTTGGTAACTAAGCATACTGGTTGCACATCATCATTTTGATCACATTTTATGAGTTATACAAGTCAGTCCTCCTTCGACTTTTGGTAGCTACACAGAGGCAATGAGATCAGAAGAGGAGGAACATTGAAGCCATCTTGGAGGCTAATTTTCAATTACCTACAACAGATGGAACGAAGCTGCAAATCTGTTTTTTTTTTCAAAGAGAACATGTCAATTCTTCCAAAACTTCTCAGCTTCCTGGTTTCACACCCATATGCCCATCCCCAATTTCAACCTGAAATCCCCAATTTCACCCTGAAATACTGAAAACTCCTCAAAATGCTGTCCTATGATCTTAGCCTCCCAAGTAGCTATGATTACAGAAGTGATTGCCTAGCTAGATGAAAAAAAAATCCATGAAAATGAAGTGCAGGAAAAGAGTGCAGGTTAAGAGTCCACACAGTGCTGTGGGAGGAAGCAACACAGGCCAAGGAAGGCCTCCCAGGTAAGGTGAACAGGACCTCTGGGACAGCTTGAGGGAATAGTTTTCATGTGTATGTGAATAATCAGAAATGAGGTCTGTGTGATCACAGGAAGCAGGGCAGAATAGCTTCTAGGACCTAAGAGTTGGGACTGCTATGAAGTGCCAAGTTACCATCAAGACAAATGGCTTTTGCCTCAAGAGGCCCTTTCCAGACCCCAAAGGAAGATCCAAAATGGATCACTTCACTCCCTGGAGAAGAGGCTGGGTAGAGACAGCCAATGTTGCGACCAAACCAGCCACACCATGAAGTCTGAGGCAGAAAAGGAAGGAGGAAAATAAATGCTAAGAAGGAAGTGTGTTGGTTCAGGTGTATGACACATAATTCCAGCAACAGAAGGATTGTAGTCCTGGGGAAGCTCTGAAAGAAATGAATGAAGAGATCCTACTTGAAAAAGAACTAAGGCAAAAAAGGCTGGGAGGGAGGCTGAAGTCATAGCGTGCCTGCCAATAAGGATGAGGTCCTGAGTTCAAACTCCAGTATGGCTGACACAGAATGGGGAATGGGAAGGAGGAAGTGAGGGAAGGAAAGAGAGGGGGAGAAAGACAGACAGACAGACACACACACACACACACACACATACACACACACACATACAGATAGAGACTGAGAGAGAAAAACAGAGACTGACAGAGATCAAAGCTGGACAAATGTCAATACTGATGGTTGATTAGGAATCTCAGCAACAGGGAGATTTGTAGAGAGGAATCCTGGCAGCTCAAACCCCAAATCTGAGCAAATCTGCTCAGTCGGGAGGGGGAATTCTAGACTATGAACCAATGGGACTTGCTTTATCACTCACTCCCTGAGAAGAGAATGATGCTGAAAATTGTTTTTAACATTGAGAAAATGTACAGACTAGGCAATGGTTTGGGGTTGATGGTCAAATGGGCATAAGATGACAAGAACAAGTGAAAAGCATGGGCAAAAGCTTCCTGGTGGATGTGATAATTGAGGGTATAGCTTTGGGTAATTGCAAAGGCTAATGGGGGAACAGTAGGAGCAAGGCACTATAGGAAGTAGACATGAACACTGAATTCAGAGACCTCCTTCAGCTTCTTCAAGCTCTCCATTCATCATGGACTTCCCTCTCAGCACTCTCCTCCAAGTCTGGCTTTACTGTTTTTTTGTTTTTCCCCCAGAAGCCCTTCCCCATACGCACCTGCTGGTCTGCTGCAGTGCATCATGGGAGCAGTATTTATCTCTTCCTCCAGTCACTTGTCTGAGCACCACTGAGGCTTCTGCAAGAATTGATCAGGTCTTATAGAAAGGGAAGGAAGAATGTGGATACAGGGGCCTCCATGGAACTTCAGGCTACCACTTGACTCTGAGCCAGACTCTCAGATCTGCAGTGGATGGTGGTGAAGAGTTCCCTGAGCTATATGACTAAAGGAATCCAGCTTAGAAATTTTCACAGTCTGGAGAGCAGAGCCAGGGGAGTGAGTGGGTTGGACTATACTAAGGTATTTGAAGACTGGACTCCAGATAAAGCACAGAACTCAGAAGGCATCCTGTCTCCATGGAAACGGTGAGGCAGAAAGTGTAGCAAGGGAGGGAGGGTCAGGGAAGGCTTGCCTAAGAATGGCCTCTAGAAAGCCAATACTACTTGGGAGCAATCTTTCCTATGCTTTTCCATGAGACAGGGTGGACAGGCAGAGTGTAAATGGAGCAGGGAGGGACTTAGGATCACTGCCAAGAGCAACAAAGTTCTAAACTATCTACTGGTGGTTTGATCTATTTATAAGGGACAACTCCCTTGTGTAGCCTCTGCTGCTTACTCTGCTGATTAATGTCTGAACACCATAAACTCCAGGTGCCCAGCTTTATCAAATGTATTTCACATAATCCTGAACAGCACTTCGGCACTGGTATAATTCCTTATTTTGTTTTAATCGAATCAGCCTCACCCAAGTTGCTTATTGTTAATAAAAGGAAAACACTGATGGCTTCAGAATAAAGGATGGATGTACATGAATGGTGAATTCCATCCTCACCCATCTCCCAAGATAAGTGCTATCCAGTACAATAAAAAGATACAAGGGGAAACAAACCTTGGATACTTGTGTGTAAACTCTGCCATTTGGCTCATCATGGAACAATTATTCTACAAAATTCCCTTTGGTATGTATGTCTTGTGACTCAGAACGCCCACGACCTTCTAGAAAGCTAAGAAGGATGCTATCACTTTCTCCATCTGGCTCAGGATTCTGTCCCCACCTAGAACAGTGTCAGCAGCCATAAAACCTTGCAGGTTGATAGGAAGATCACTGTGTCCTGTACCCACTCCCTTCCTGAGTCACCCACAAAGTCTACTACTAAGCTAGGACTACCTGATGGCCTCCAGGAGACCCCCCTTGAGAAAATAGGCCTGGCACTAGGAAAATCAGGTTCTCAGTTGGTCAATGAAATGAGTATCATCTTGCTGGTTCACCTCATCCTAAGACAGTTTTTGAGCTGGAATAGTACACTGGGCAAGTTGTGATGACAGTTGTCCATAATCCCTGCTATATAGGAGTTGGAGATAGGAGGACTGTGGTTTGAGACCAGATTGAGCAAAAGTAGTTAAGTAAAAGAAAAGAAAGATATGAAAAAAAAAGAAAAACAGAGAATATGGTGGTACCTGCCTGTAATTTCAGCTAACTCAGGAGGTGGGGGCAGGGGGATCATGGTCTGAGGCTCCTCCTAGGAATCAAGTATCTTTATCCTATCTGCAAATTAAAGTAAATTAAAGCCAAAAGGATGAAGTCATGGCTCATGTGGTCCTCTACTTACCTAGCAAGCGTGACATCCTGAGTTCAAAACCAGGTAATGCATTTAAGTCAAAGGAAATATATGTTACACTGAATAGAATGTTACCTAAACTATGCTGCTGCTTAATAAATGGTGTCAAAGAAAAAACTTCCCATCCATCAGCCGTATGTCCATAGGTCCATATGCTCATTACATGACATTGCTTCATGCTTGCTTTGGGGCCTGTATCTGGGTAGCTGGACCAGTCTATCTCCTTATATCCTGAGTTGATATAAGGTGAAGAGAAATTGTACA